GGCTTTATTATTAGTTTGCTGATACACGCCTAGCCGTGATGGGGAAAAAAAAAACAGGTGATCATTATCTAGCAGGAATTTTTGTTTGGGTCTGAAATAATAATTTGGAAGACTAAACTAAATCTTACGCCCACATCGATCTCCTGTAACGTTATTTGAATTTGATTTACAGGTTGTCTCTGACATGTTAAGTTTTGGGATGTTATTGAGTTATATGAAAACAAATGATAAACAATATACAAGCAATTTGCAGCAGCTACAGGACATGAGTTGATGTATTTAACAAGTTTATTGTACAAATTGATATGGATTATTTAGTGTAGTGCAGTGATATTGTATAAATATCCTGTTGATATTGGGACGTTTTCAAAGTACTGTATTCTGTGGTTTGTATAAGTCAGGGTTTTAAAACTGCCAAAATTTTCGGTAATACCATTTCTAAGGTATGTGTAAGATTTTTTTTATTTTACTTTTTTTTTTTTTTTTTAAACAACAGTATCTCCAGCAAAAAAAGATATCGAAAGATGCTGTTTTAAATTGTAAAGACATCAGTGATTTTGAAATAAATGAAGACATCAGAAGTCCATGATTCATTTGACTTATTCAGCCTGACATGTTTACTGCTCCAAAATATTTAAAATCTTTCAAAAAATAAAATATATTGTTTTTAAAGGATTTTTTTTAATATCAAGAATATATTTTAGAGCAGTGATCACAATACCTTGAATACCGACCAATAGTTGATATTTTAAAATCTCATTGTATTTATCTTTCAAACACACAATTTTTGTTTGTTTGTTTGTTTTTTTTGCTTGCTTGCTTGCATGTTTGTTTGTTTGAGACACCTGTCATCATCAATAAAAATAAAAAAAATTCTGATGGTGGCATCTGTGACTCGTTCCTAATTATTGGAAAATATTTAGTTTGTCTTGTGATTGTCATCTGGAGAACTGTGATTAAAAAAGCCTTTTGTTTGTTTTTCTGTGGATGTCACATGTTGTGGTTTTACCACGTCATTTGACCAAAATGATAATGCTTGATGCGTCACCATGTGTGTATCTGTGTGTGAATCATTGACACGCTCTCATTTTATTAACAAATTATTGTTCAGTTTGAAGCCCTATAGCGATATCTGAACGATGATTTCCTGTAGTCAGATACACCCAAGTAAAGGGTATTTGTACTAACAGTTTTTTTGTCACAGCTTCTTTACACTGTGAGAATGATAATGATGCTGGCAGTAATAGACAGTCTTTTGTGTTGAGATAAGTATGAAAGCTGAAAAAGTGCAGACTGTAACAAAAAAGTGTGTAAAGTGTTTTTCAGTTGCCCTTTCTGTGTGTAGTTTGCATGTTCTCCCCGTATTGGCGTGGGTTTCCTTCCTTCCATCCAAAGACATGCTGTACAGGTGAATTAAATAAGCTAAATTGGCGGTCGTGTGTGTGTGTGTGTTTGTGTGTGTGTGTGTGTGTGTGAATGTAAGAATGAATGGCTGTTTCCCAGTACTAGATTGCGGCTTGAAGGGCATGCGCTGCTTAAAACATATGTTGTATAAGTTAGCAGTTCATTCTGCTCTGGCGACCCCTGGTTTATAAGCCGAAGAAAAATGAATGAATAAATTATTTAGTAATGTTTTTTGACAGTTTTTACTATTTTACAAATGTTTGTTTGTTTACAAATTTTATTGTAGTTTTTACTAAACTTATTCATTCATTCATTCATTCATTCATTCATTCATTATCAGTAAGATGGTTCACTAGTTCATTTAACTACAATTTAAATTAATCTAATTAATCTAATCTAATTTATTCAGAAATAACCAATTAATTTATAACATATTCATTCATTCATTAATTCATTCATTCATTCATTCATAACTAATTCCTTATTACTCAATTAACTAATTCATTCATTCAGAATTAACTCATTCATTCGTAACATATTAATTTGTTCATAATTAACTCATTATTTCACAATTAACTGATTCATTTATTCACAATAAACTAATTTATTAATTCATAACATATTAATTCGTTCATAACTAATTCATAATTTAACAGTTAACTAATTCATTCAATCATAACATTATTCCACAATCAACTAGTTCATTTATTCATAATGTATTAATTCGTTTTTAACTAATCTATTATTTCATTCATCAATTAATTCATTCATTTTCTTTTCAGTTTAGTCCCTTTATTAATCTGGGGTCGCCACAGCAGAACGAACCGCCACCTTATCCAGCACATGTTACGCAGCGGATGCCCTTCCAGCTTTAACCTATCTCTGGGAAACATCCATATACTCCCATTCACACTCATACACTACGGACAATTTAGCTTACCCAATTCATCTGTACCACATGTCTTTAAACCTGCCGAGGGTCGAACCAGCGACCTTCTTTCTGTGATGTGACAGCCCTACCTACTGCACCACCGCATCGCCCTTCATTATTTCAGTTAACTTATTTATTTATTCACAATGTGTTCATTCGTTCATAACTAATTAATTATTTAGTTCTTAATTTATTTATTCATAAATTTTTTATTCATTCAATCATTAACAGTTAACTATTTCATTCATTCATTCATTTATTCATTCATTTTCTTGTTGGCTTTGTCCCTTTATTAAATCAGGGTCACCACAGCGGATTGAACTGCCAACTTATCAGCATATGGGGAAAACCCACGCAAACACGGGGAGAACATGCAAATTCCACACAGAAATGCCAACTGATCCAGCAGAGGCTCGAACCATGAACCTTCTTGCTGTGAGGCTATCGTGCTACCCACTACACCACCTTATGGCCCTAATTCATTTATTCATAACTAATTTATTATTTCACAATTAACTAATTATTAACAATTTACTGATTCATTAATTCATAACTTATTTATTGATTCTTTAAGAATTCATTAATTTATAACTTATACATTAATTCCCAATTAACTAATTCAATCATTCAGAACTAATTTATTAGTTTACTTTTAACTAATTAATTAATTAATTAATTAATTAATTCATTCATTCATTCACAATTAACTAATTCATTCATTCATAATTAGGTAACAGATTTATTAATCAATTCATTCATAATTAAGTAATTTATTTACAATTATCTTAATTATTGATTGTTTGTTTAGTTTGTTCATTCATTCTATGTATAAAATAATGTCTTGTCTGTCTGTCTGTCTGTCTTTCTTTCTTTCTTTCTTTCTTTCTTTCTTTCTTTCTTTCTTTCTTGTTTCCACATTTTGATCTTTAGTGTTTATATTTAAACCATTGTCATTTTTCCTTCATCAATGATCAAATGATCTCCCCTGAGAGTGTTGTTGTGAGGTGTGGTGACTTCAGCATCTGGAATGTGAAATGAGTTCCTGCATTGACTTTTATTAATGTCTTTCCTCGGGCACCGTTTGTCATAAAACGCCAGCCTGCCAGGCAAACGACAGATGTGTCCTGTCAGTTACTGTATTTGTTTAAAGCGTTTACAGCTTGTTGATACTCAGCTCCTCAGGGCCATTTTTCAGATAGCGGGCCTTTTCATTTGACGTCATGTCCCAGAATGCCCTCTACACCCCACTGAAAAACACAACAGAAACCAATACAGAAGACACTGTTGCTTTCCACTAATACTATTAAAACATTATTAACTATCAAATTTTAACCATGAAAATCCCTAGTTTAAAAGTTTCTAGTCTGTTTTGAGACATATTTTATCAGGAGACAGTGCTCAGCATAATTGAGTATGTCCCATTTTGAAAATATAGTTTTAGCCACTTCTGAGTAAATATAGGCAATGTATTTTGGTGCATTTAAACAAAACAGATTTATTAAAAAGATATATTAATGAAAATAATATTTTAGTCACCAAAAATATTTAGAAATTGAAAGATAATACAAATAAATTCAAGGAAATTACAAATACAAAACCACATTTTTCAAATTTTTCGATTGCCTTGATTTTTCCTCTCTTTTAAATAATTGTAATTAATATTTTTCTATAACATATACATTTGTGTGTACTGGTTTTTGGATTTTTGTCGTAAGTTATTTTGTTAGACATATATATATATATATATATATATATATATATATATATATATATATATATATATATATAGTTAAAATTAATTTACTTCTAATGTAATCACTAAAACATTACAATACCATTAGTGCTCCTTTGATTTGTGAGGGGTGAACTTATCTGTGCTGAGCACTGTATGCTGGATTTAACATGCCAGGAAAAGGCTAGTTAGCTAAAATAAAATAAAATAAAATAAATCTATTAATTTGAGTTTAAGTAAATCAAATTATGTCAATTAAATAATTTAATGAAAAAAAATATTGACCACAATTAAGTACAGTTGAAATGCAATAAAATATAATTAAAAGCAAATACTATTAAATCACATCAAAAAATAAATAAATAAATAAATAAATATATATATATATATATATATATATATATATATATATATATATATATATATATATGTATATATATATATATATATATATATATATACACACACACACACACACATTAAAATAAATTGAAAAAAATGATAACAAAACGCTAGTAAAAACACACAAAAACAATAATATATAATTATATATATATAATTATTATTATTAATTAATTTATTAACTTCCATTGTAATCATTAAAACATTTTTATTTTAATTTATTTTATTTCATATTTCTGCAGGGCAATTAATGAATAGCCAAAGTAGCAAAATTACTTTTTAGCACAGCTGGTCTATTCAGTGGATGTTTATTCTCTGCACCTTTTAGATGGAAAATTCAAAGTTACGCATGGATTGCCACGGTGTCGTGTTTGCTTATATCAAAATTAGAGCGACTAATTGTCATGTTGTTTTGCAGGGCTGTTGGTTGCTAAGCAGGTGGATGTTTTACACAGATTGATGCCCATTAAGTCTGCAGACAGGACGTCCTTGTAGGAAACACACTGAATTGCCGTGTTTTTCTTCTTGCAGATGCCCGGTTTAGTGTCATGTCTTGGAAATCTAATAGTCACTGGATTCATCATCCTCTTCTGTGAGCTCGTCACATCAGAGATATGGACCAATGAAGGTACACACTCCTGTTATTTAAACCATAGTCAGTAATAATCAGTAGACAGTAATACAGTGATACATCAATTATTAATATTTAAATAAATAAAAATTATGTTTTGAAAAATATTTACATATACAAAGTTGTATTTCTTGTATTGTACAGTTCTGCAATTTTGACCTTTTTTATCAGAATTCAGCATTTATTTTCTCGCAAATTAAAAATTTTGTTTTGATTTTACTCACAAATTTACTCACAATTTAGATATGTGGTATAATTATGTTGAAATCTTTATTTTTAAAGATTTATTTTTATTTCTTTATTTAATCTTTACTTCTAAAATCTTTACTTTTTTATACTATTCTTATTCTCATCTATTCTTTTATTCTACATCTCTTTTTTGCACATTATTTAGAGTAATTATTTGAACTAAGAATTTTTCACAGAATTCCAAGTTTGTCTCACAATTCTCTGTTTACATTTAGCAGTTTTCACATTATTTATATTCAGAAATTAAATTGCATTTCTAAATTTCGCCTACTTTTGAAGAGCCTATATTATGCACTATAAAAGGTTTTGGGGCTCTCCAACAAAACACTGATATGCATGTAAGGTAAAAAAAAAAAAAAAAAAAAAAAAAAAAAACTTTCATTGTATTTTGCATTTATTTTTACCTAATTATCCCAATAAATCCTTTATGATTCATTCAGCAGTTAATTTGTATCCAAACTCCTCCTTTGCGTGAGGCTAATCTGCGCTAATTGGTCTGATGACGTCTATGTCGGGTTCAGCACAAGATGGACAGAAACGCCCACTATGGTTATGAAGTAGCAGAGTTCAGAGTATATGCGTAAGCCCAATACAGGAATGCATTAAAGCAATACAGTTAAACACCAGCATATACTCTACTTGTAACCCTAACCCCAAGTAATAACAATGACACACATTCAGTATTAATCCACACAGTGGCAAAAGTTTAACTATTTTGAAAATTTACTGATTGCGAGTACAAAAACGCATTTAAATTGGTAAAGAAAGAAGCACTCATCACATTTTCAATGTGTTTTTGGACTAATGTGAATGTGAATAGCCTATAAAGATTTAACCTAAAACATACATTACAATCACTGATCTATAATAGATAAGTGATTACAAAGCATGTAAAACGATAACAAGTTACAACACACAATTAAATACATATTTTACAAACTACAGAAAACAGGGCAACCATTTTATTCATACTTACAGCTTGTGTAAGAAGGAGAAACACTTACTGGACCTGGAGGAAGAAGAAACTGGTCCATTTGAACTGTGTTAACAGTTACTGAAACGTCCCATACATTAATAGTCTTTACTGATCCTTCCTTTATTAGCAAACCCCTCATTGCAGCGTAGGCTATTGTATTAATCATTAGAAAAATGAAAGGAACACACACAGCACAAGGTATACTGTCGTATTGTTGTGAAAATTAACCCACAGCTGCATATGTGGCCATCTGTGAGTTATTGTAATCTTTGCGTCATGATCATGCACATGATCACCTGCACTCTGCTAGTGTCTGAAGGGAAAAGCACGTTCACTTTTTACCAGATCCGGCACTTCATATTTGGCGTATATCATCGTACATACGGGCAGGCAAACGATCCAAACAAAGAACAATTTATACATTCGACTTTAAGTCGACTCTTTCCTCGAAGAATTAATAGTTTTAAACATGGTGCACTTTCAGATTTAAACCTCAGCTGGATGTTTTCATACACTTAGATAGGGCTGCACGATATTGGAAAAAATTGACATTGCGATATATTTTTCCCCTGCGATATATATTGCGATATTTTTTATCTATATATACTTAAGACTAGGGCTGTGACAGTCACCATGACAACTGCGTCACCGCGGTGGTCAGTTGCCACCTCGGTTGTCCATTGCCACCGACCGAAGTATGTGACGTCACGCACTTTAAAACACAAATTACTGTTATGTTGCCAAGTATTACATATCTGTTAGAATATAACATTAGGCGCGATTCAGCAAGTTCAAGTTCAACCATGAATCTTGTTAGAAAACGAACTCTTACATCTGGGAACATTTTGGATTCGTGCCGACCGAGAAAGGTAAACGAATCAATTTGGATTAAGCTTTTTGTATGGGGGTTTTAAGTAAAGTGTGTTTTAATATTCACTGCTGAGAGTCCAAACACTGAGGAGCAAATCCATCGATACGCAGATCCACGGGTCCCGAACCATGCAAGCTAGTGGCGATTGACGGCGAGGGAAAAAAAGCCATGTAGGCTTTAATCAACTCCTATCTTCTAAACGCAGAAGCCCAGCTCAGCCAGGCATGGCAGAGGCATTTGCAAAAATGGCCAGATACAAAAGAGAAAGTGATAAATGGAAGACATTGACGAGAAATGGAGCAACATAGGCTATTTGGTAGCTAGTTAAGAACGCGCCGCTCCGCAGAGTAGAGAAACCTGCGTTGCGAGAAATGCGGGCGGCGGAACAGAAGCAGAAGCCCTCCCTCGCATGGTTGTGAAAAAGTAGCTTGTCTGTGCATTTTCGCTACAAGCACACCGTCTGACAGTGTATTGCTGGAAACATTATAACCCCATTCTTCACTTAAACCGGACAAAGTCAACATGTTAGATTTTCTGGCAAATAATTTAAAATATGAATACAAAAGGTGGAGAGAAACAACGCTGTTTTTTTTAAACATCTGACTTATATTGTTACTAGGTTAATATTTTCTTTTTTACTTATAATTATTAATATTTATTCACTGATAATTCACTGATTAGTAAAGTGCCATTTAGGCTATTTGTTAAGTTTTTAAAAATGTAACGTTTAATTGTTATTATTATACGGTTTCAAGCAGTTAAAGTAATTTAATATTTAACTACAATATTTATAAACAGTTTTATGTTGTTTTATTAACGAAAGTTCAAAAATAAACATGTATGTTTATACGGATGTTTTATTTATTAATATTTAATTAAGTTATTCCTTAATTTTTACATAAAAGGTAAATTAACTTAGGTAGGCTACATTATTTGTTAATGTACGAGATCGAGGAACATGTTTGCCAGTAAATAATGTTCTCACCACTTAAAAAAATAAATAAATGAATAACTTGCGAAAAGGATGCAATAAAAAATGCAAGCGCTTAATCATTCTTCACAATCGGATTCGTACGTGCAATAAGCCGAGGCTATATTGCGCCGACAAGAAAAAGCCCTAAAACTAAGTCTAGAGAGAGAATTAATACTAGTTAATATTAATGATTATAAACACGAACTGCGTTGTATGATAAACGCATCACAATGATGTCGTGATCTTTGCTGAAGAACTGATATGTTATCACCGTCTCCCCAGCCAGGTTTTCATCTGCTTTTTTTCCCCTTCTTCTCGATACAAACAATAGTATCAGTGCCAGACCAGTGGTATAAATTATATTTTACTCTCCTGATTTCTTTTCATTAAAAAATAAATAAATGTTTAAAGTTTTGTATTGCATAGGCCTATATAATTTTAAAGATTATCATTCAGCCTACCTGCAGCACATGAGGTTGTGTGCTGGGCAAATCCCCTTTACTCATGCTACCCATTTCATTTATGACACTGTAAACTTGACTTGGCTGGCTGATCATCTTTAAACTCAAAAGGTGTTTTTAACTTGAGACTGCTTCTGCATAATGTGATGTTTCTTATTACAACTGTTAGCGGTGTCAAAATGAAAGCAAACATTAAAAAGGGTTTTGTTTTATCAATTGTATAGTTTAGTTTTAATAATAGCTAATGTATATAATAAATTTTAATATTGATTATTGTGTAGACTACAGTGTCCAACAAAACAATTTTATTAGGTTACTCTAATAGACCAAATCCCTAACTGAAAAACGAATGTGAAAATGACAGGGAGTCATTTTCTCTGCTAAAATTAATTTAACAACAAATTTCTTTTGCGTTTTTTCCCCTTTAGAGATCAAAAGAGCTGTATTTAAAGAATTATTTCACTAAAACAAGAATTGAATGCCCAATTCTTTCCCGTGTGAGTTTGGTGCGCCTCCGCGTCTGCGTTTTTAAGGTTGCAGGTGCACCCTGACCTGACGCGGGGACCAGATCTCTGCACTATTGCTTTAATTTCTCAATTTTCATAACTGCATTGCATTTTCATATGGTAAAATATCAAAATGTATGTTCTGAAAGTAGTAGGAATGACAGGAGTGTTATTAATTAATGACAGAAAGAACTTTCACTTTTGAGTGAACTTCTGTCACGTGTTATTTTAGTATGATAAAATAAACAAAAATAGTAATGCAGAAAAGTATTTTTCGCTCTGCCAAGCCTTCTCTGTTGCTGTATAGAGAAGCAGCCTGCTCAGTCTCCTTACCCCGGCCCCACCCCGCCCACCAACTCCTGAACGTCTCACTCACTCACTCACTCACTCACTCATGCGGGCATGCACTGCGGTCTCATGAGGAAACGCAGCTTTTTGATATAATGTTTTTCTTGTTCTCAAATACAAATAATTTATCAAGTATTGTTTGAAATAAGCGTTCGTAAAAACACGCTATTCGTGCTTTTCGAATACCGTATTCCGGTTCGGCTCCACCCATAATATATATATATATATATAATTAATTTTTTTTTGCTTTGCATCGCACCCTCCTGCGATGTGACTATCGCGGATGCGCACATCGCGATTTCGATGCTGAAACGATATATTGTGCAGCCCTACACTTAGAGTTGTGTTTCATGCTGCATTAAAGGTTAATTTCAAAAACCCATAATAGGGGCTCTATAAGTTTATTCCTTGCCATTGTTTATAGACTATTTATAATATATTGATTTAGTTTTTTGGAATTGGGAAGATACAAATTTATGATAAAAAGAATCATAATACAAGATTTCAATTTTAGATATTGTTAAGAGTTTTAAGAAAAAAAACATCTAAAGGTGAAACACAAGCCTTTATACTTTTGCACTATAAAATCACTAAGATACAGTAATGCTTTAGAAAAAAAAAACTAAAACATAATAACCATAGTATTGTGCAACATGATTAAAATGGAAAAGAACTGTTTTTAATTATAATATACTCTAAATTGTTATCATTCAGTTTGGTTGCCTCAAGTGTTTAGGTTTGTGTTCCAGCATATGAAACTCATCAGAAGTCTCTCTAGCGTGTCCTCATTTAGACAATCATGATGAAATTATTCTGAACAGCTATGCCAGATAACAAACTGATTTATCATCTGCAAAATTCAATTTTAATCCATCGCAGGAATATAGCCGTAGCCTTGTTTTGTAGAACAATAAACATCTCTGTTTTAAATTCCCAGTCTCTATTGCCCTGCATATGGATTGCTCAATTAATGCATGCAACTCTGGTCTTTCTTTCTTTCTGTGTGTGTGTGTTATGGCTGCAATTTAGTTGGCCAGAGAGGGAGAAATTTGAGAAATGCGGTGGGATTTCAAATAATATGCTTTTGCCAGTATTTCTTGAAAGCCGACATTGAGCATGAGTGTTTCTTGAGCGCAGTTAAACCCTGGGCACTGGAATGCTGCCACACTTAGTGTGTGTGTGTGTCTCTTTGTTTAACTCATGGCAGTACATCCCTGATATAAATACTGAAATCTGACTATGCAGAAACGCACTGTAACATAAACACCTTAATTCTTGCTATAGAAACCCTGCTGGGCTTATAAATAATGAAAGGATGTGCAATTTTAGGGGAAGCGACCCTTGAAACTTTAGCTTTTCACATTGCATATGATTTTTTGCAGTTAAACTACATTCAATATGACCCTTTGAAAAAAAAAAAGTCGTCAACTTTCCAACTTAAACATTTAAATTTTAAAATAGAAATAGGAACATAAGTGTACTTAATAACATAAGCATGTTAATACCTTGTGAAAACAGTAATGTGTCTTACTGTAGCTGACCCCTTGTGAAAATATTTGGGTTTATTTGAAACTTTTCTAATTGGGTTTATGCCAGAGCTGAAACCAATCCTTTGCCAACAGTGCCACTCGTTCAGAACCGGTTTGTCTTTTTACTGTCAGGGAGCAGAATCTGTTAAATCACTATAAATGATGATGTTGATGATGTTGATAATGCTGTTGCGTTGTGTCTTCATTCAATCTTGCATTACCTTGAGACAACTGCCACTTAAGATAGATCTCTCATTCAATTCATTCAATTCATTTATTCATTGTTTCGTTCATTCATTCATTCGTTCGTTCATTCATTCATTCGTTCGTTCGTTCGTTCGTTCGTTCATTCATTCATTCATTCATTCATTCATTCGTCCGTTCATTCATTCATTCATTTTCCTTCGGCTTAGTCCCTTATTTATCAGGGGTTGTAGGGCTGGGCGATACAGAAAAAAAATATATCACAATAAAATGTTTAATATACTTAATTGTTTATAATTAAAGAATAATTTTTACAAACCATTTGGGAATATTGGGATTCATTTCTTTTAATTTAACAATATTATTTTAATTATCAATATCAAAATCAAATATTAACAAAGTGTCTTACAAAGTGTAAACTCTGAACAATCAAAGCCAATGTTAGGGTTGATCAACATCTGTAAGGTGTCTATAATAATCACAGTATACCACAAACTCTATTAACAAAGCAAATTATGATAATCAAATCTGAGCTTTCAAGTAAAGGAATCAACCATCATCATTCAAACACAGACTGCAGCCTTAGAAATTGTGAAGTTGAATGACTACATTACCCCATGCTAAAAAAACTCTTTCAGATGGGGAGCTAGTGGCTGGGTTGCACAAGAAAAGAAACCAAAAAGCCACTCTGGCGACATCCTTACATCCTTTTTTATTTACAATCTTCTAACTTTTATATATGGCATTTTGCCAGTGTTGTTATTCTGACCTGAGGTGGCGAAACTCAACAAAATCTGTTCACGTGTTGTGTCCAAAAGCACATGAAAAGTGTTACATGTGGATTCAGTTTTTCTTCACCATTTTCAATGTGGTTTACGCTCGGGCTCCTCTGGTGTCTCTCATTACTAGGCGATCTTCAACGATTTTCTCAGACAAACAAACCATTGCTGCAATTCTAAAACGAGTTTGCATTTATGAAGAGAATGAAAAAGCACTGCTGTGTTTGTCTGAGTCTGCCATTATTACCGAAATGTGTATATTGCATACAAAATTTGAAGCAAATAAAATGCGCATGCATCATGTGCTGTGCCAAGCCATGTGCCTCGATTGGAAATAACCCTAAGCCTACTTGCATTCCTTCCAAGGTGCATGCTCAGCAGCCACATTTTAATAAAGCTAAAGCACTTCATACCGAAAAAATCATACCAACTCTTTTTTTTTTTTTTTTTTTATCATTATTGACAATGGTGTTCAGTCATTACATATTGATACTATTTTACCCCCCAGGTCTAAGGGATTGCCACAGTGAAATGAACCGCTGATTATAAATCAGCATCTAACACAATTGTTCCAGCAATAATATGTGTTAGCTTGCCATGTGTATTCAGGATTTTCTACAAAATAGGTCACAGGTAGTCAAAATTTACAATATGACCTCAAGCCCTATAAGAATGAGCGTATACACAAGGCTGTGTACTGTGACTAGTTCTGTATTCCATTTGCACTAATAATTGAGTTTCACACATCAAATCTGTTGAACAAAAAATGCAGGTGATACTATAATAATTAGTTTAATAATTGACAATACCAAATCTGACTACTGAAATCAGGCGTTAACCGAACAGAACTCACCATTTAATTTCGAATGCTCTTTAAACAAAAGGAAACTCTGTTTGATTTTGATGTTCAAAATGATTTTACACCATTAATTATTAATGACAAAGCCGTGATAAATGTGGAGAGTTTGCATTTTTATGAAATCTTATCAAAGATTGTATTACTTAAGGCAACACAACAATTTTTGAAGTATCTTCAGCAGGTATGTTCAGGTTTTATAGACCCATTTAGAGGTTTGTTCCTTGAAAGTGTGCTGACTTTTTCACTAGCAGTGTGGTTTTGCAGCTACTCATTTCAACAAAAAGTCAAATCCATAGCATAGTGGGAACTGCCTCAAAACAGAGGCCACACTCTGCCTTTTATAGATGACATTTATGTCTTGCGTTTGCAGAAAATGGATTAACAAAATTACACATACTGCTTGACATCTTTTCACACTTATCAAACCTAAAACTGCACTAATTTTTAACAACGCCTAATGCTAATTTATCTGTATTTAATTTAATTTTAATTTCCTTCTAATCAACAAGAATAAGCCTTAATTAAGTGAGTGAGTATAATGAAAACAAAGGCTTTCGCATTAACCAGTACAGAGTAGCCTACATCTCAGCATTTCAGCTGAGCAGTCAAACTTGTTCCATGTATGTTCTGAGGTATCCAGTTAAGAATCCCAACGTAGATAACTAAATCTTTTAATCGCATATTCAATCATAAAACCAAACATTACACCAATCATAACACCAATATTACACATTTTTGTCCACATGGGTCATCATTTACATTTCTAAAGGGGTTATTATTTTATTTTTCTATAGACGCGCAATATAGAAGTACAGGCTACATAGCAAAATATCCCAAAATAAGGAAGCAATTCTGAACTGCCTGAGCATAGTCAGAGACTGTAAGAAAAGTTGAGGCTGCACTGTGTTTTTTGACCTTTGACAGATTGACATTGGAGATCAGACCCCTCTAATCCAAAATTAGGAACACTAAATATAGCATAAAATTAATTGCTTCTATTTTACATTGCACCAGCAACATTTCTTGTTGATAGCTTAATGACTTGATGAACTAAACGACTTGCATGTCTTCTGCTTTCAGTTTCAGATGTCCAGTTCGGTGGACTGGGCTCCAGGGTCACCCTCACATGTGGAGGCTCTCACACCGGGTATGTTCTCCAGTCTATATTAAGCCTGGCTAAAACTCCATTAGGCCCTAGAGCTAAGCTTTCCTGTAAGGAGTGATAATAGTGTGCTTAACCCCCCCTCCGTTGGGGCACGAGGCCAGTCCTTATAGGGTTTGGACACATTGAGGCCATTTACTGCGGGCTGGGGGCTCGCTTCCCCAGCTTCGGATTTTGGCAAAGCTTGGGTTTCATATAAAGGCAGTTGCTGAATAATCCATATTTCTTGCCAATAAAGGCCCAATCCAAGAAAGTCCGCCTGCCAAAAATAAGATTTGCATGACACACATATGAGTAACATGATACGCAAGTCCAGCTGGAGTTGATAGCTGGTATTTTGTCGTAGGTATATCTTTCTTAGAGCAGGGAAATAGGTGAAGGTTTACTGAGTATGTTGACTGTGAGTTTGGATGGGGTCGGCAGGTCTCCAGTGGAATGGCGCTTCAATGGGAGCTCAGTACCACCGTGGCAAACACACGAGGGCTTGCTTACGCTACTGAACACCACACACTCGATGGAAGGTAACTACAGCTGCCATGATGAACAGGGAACTTTACTGCAGTCCATCAAACTGCGCCTGGGACGTAAGTCAAATTCAGCTATACAAGAGTCCCTTGTTTTGTGTTTTGACACTCAATGTGTTTTATTTGATAAAATACATGAGGGGGAAATGGGATCCCACTTTATATTAAGTGGCCTCAACTAAAATGTATTTACACTGAAATTATAAACACGTTAGAATGTCTTCTATTTTGAAGATACACGTTTTGCATTGTACTTTTGGTAAATTAAATACCTGAATTTTACTACATCTGCTATAAATTTCTGTAATAACATGTATAATTAAATTGTTGACTCCTGCTTACACTTTAATCTACCCTTAAAACCACCCAGACCACCAAATCTGTCCTTAAACTTACCCATATCCCACCTCAAGAAGAACACAATAAGTTATGTAATAAGTTATGTTATGTAATAAGTTATGAACACATTAATGAACACATTAAGTACATTGTATTTATCTTTTGTAACTGCATAGTAGTTAAGGACACTTAATATAAAGGGGGACCGAAAATAGTTTAACTGTCTGAGCCTATTTGGGCAGAAGGGGCCGGAAATTGATGAATAAATGAATTTAATTTTTTTTTTTTTTTTTGCCTTATCAGAATGGAATGACATTTGCTGACATTTTTATTTCTTATATGAACACACTATAATCATTATTTGGATGTTACACTTCAAGGTCCTTCAAGGTCCTTCAAGGTCCTTCAAGGCCCTTCAAGGTCAAAAATGATTGTAAATTAATGGAAAAAAATATATATAAATATAATCAGGTTACCCTAGAAGGAAACACTTTACTTGAATGGGGTAATAATAAGATTGTCATGATACATTTATAATCATGACATGACACGTCATAAATATAAATGAGATTGTCATTAATTGTCATTAGCTCAGTTTTGTCATTTTAAATGCAAAGGTGGCATTGTTTGAGATACCTTGGTAATGACAATCCAAAGAAATGCATCACAACTTGTTTTTATCTTTATCATGACAACTTGACATTATCAAGACAACATGGTTTGTCATACATGTCATAAACAAGATTGTCACTATGACCCTATACTACATCACGTTGCGGTGAGCTTCAAAATAACTGGGATTTGGGTCCTATTTTAATGTCAGGAAATTTTAAAAAAGAGACTTATATCACTCTAATATGACTGTGGACACACTATACATATACACAGTTCTGTCCAAACAGCTTACAAAAGAAGATTTTTTTCATAGGTGCCGTTTATGGTACTGCAAGCGGGTAAAAAAAATATATATCTGCAAAATTTAAACTAACATATTTAGTTTAATATTGCTAAATTGCGTTTGTTTGTTTAAATTCAACACATAAAAATAGCTTGCACCCACTTACGGCACCTTAAAATAAAAGAGTAAATCCAATTAGTAATTTTTTCTCAATGTTTTTTCACTGAAACAAAATATATTTGTGATTACATTTTCTCAGCAAAAGTGTCAATTAAATGTATTACAGCATCATTGATATTTAATAACATTTATTGAAATTTTAATATGTTTAGGTGAGGTCAAGAAAAATATTATTGATGCCGTCATAAAAGTCATTAAGAAGAAATGTAATTTTTTTTTTCTGCAGTTAAAATGGTCGTGGGTCATTTTAACCCATAGGTCAACAGGAGGGTTAAAGTACATTAAGTCTTGATAATTGCTGGATGTGTCTGAAATGGCACTTGTATTGGACAGATTTCTGGAAGGCCAGGAAATGTTTTAGTAAAAAGGAAACTCTTTGAGCTCAGGGAGCTGCAAAAGAAAGTTGTACGCCCTATTCTGTTTAACTCAAGGCACTTCCTCTAACAGGAAGTCAATACATCACAGCTCCACAGTTTCCTGATAGGAAGGGTGAGATTGCAGGGTAGAGTGAAGAATAGTAAAGTATAGTAAAGAATTAATGTACAGCCTTGATGTTCATGAGCTGAACAGTTCTCCAGTGCTGTTTAAATGATTCGACTTGTGTTCACAGATACTGAATGATATTTTGTGTGAAGTTATCTCATGAGATTTTCTTTGTCTTCTACATCTAGACCCACCTCATTTCGTCAGTGTGTCTTGTCGTGTGCCGAATCATATGAAAATCTCCTGCTCCTGGGAACAAACCAAGAGGACAAACTTGCCCACATCATACAGAGCCTCATACAGGTGCAGCTTCATCTTGTTCTTTACTTCTATCTATCTATCTATCTATCTATCTATCTATCTATCTATCTATCTATCTATCTATCTATCTATCTATCTATCTATCTATCTATCTATCTATCTATCTATCTATCTATCTATCTATCTATCTATCTATCTATCTATCCATCCATCCATCCATCCATCCATCCATCCATCCATCCATCCATCCATCCATCCATCCATCCATCCATCCATCCATCCATCCATCCATCCATCCATCCATCCATCCATCCATCCATCCATCCATCCATCCATCCATCCATCCATCCTGTCTGTCTGTCTGTCTGTCTGTCTGTCCATTCGTCTGTTCGTCTTCCATCCAATCAAAAGAAAAGTCTTAAAAGTAACCTAGGACATGTTAGCAGTCTCATAAAAGATGGTAGTGGTGAGTTAAAAATTCTAGTGATGTAATAAAAACCATGATACATAAACTAATGCTGAAACATTCTAGCAACATGTTAAAACCTGATATTTACTTACTAATATTGTGTATTACTGTTCTACTGTTTAGTTGACTGGTTGACTTTAATACTTTGCAATAAAATTTTTGACTGATGGCTATTGCACTTCGTGGATCATGTGATTTGGCTTTCACACAGAACATATTCTTTCATTCCAGCCCACTACTTTTCTATTGTTTTTAAACATGTTTTGTAAACATGACAGACAACTTCTGAAGCGCCACTTTGTCAGATTTAAATAAAATTACATTAAATTTGAACTTTTAACATGCCGCTGCTCATCAATGTCAGTTGGTAAAAATCATAAAACTCTTAGGTGGGGCAAGCATTATGAGCTTCTGTTTACAGTAGCAAGTTGGCATGAAAACACCATGGCGCTTATAAAAATAAATAAAAATAAACACCTTCCTGAGTGCTGCGTGTTGTGTTTTAAACACAAAGATGTGAAGGACCCCTTTTATATTACCATTCCAGACACTGTTGGATGTAAAATAAAAAACAAACAATATATATGTTATAGCACATAATTGGATTTGCGTCATTAAATTAACTCTACAGTTTATGTAATTTCGGGTGTTTCATTTTTAATTTGTTGACTTTAACTGCATTTTGGCAAGAGTATTGTTTTAATGGAATATGATACCACCTGTCGTATGGGAAATAAAATCTCTGCATTTCATGATGCAGGTGTCTGTGATCCTTCACTGACTTCTTAGGTGCAGATAATAGTGTCAAACAGCCATGCATGGAAAATCCTGTTGCAAAATGCGAAAATCATAGACGACAGTAATAGTTTGATTATGGTGTTTACATGTCTGTTCTGTTCTTCAATTATGCGACTAAAATCGGCATACATCAGATGTCCTAATTCCATTTCTGACTTTAGTCAGATTAAATTAATGAAAAATCATTGTTGACATGGTAGACTCTTAATCAGAGTATTGTCTTAATTGTATTAAAAAATTATTATTGGTGTTCATGTAAACATACTCTCTGTTACTTGATTCCATACAGTCAGAAGGGCCAGGGCCGCAAGCAAATTCCCAGTGAACCCTGTGAACAGAAGGATACCGGGGTAAATGAGTGCACAATTACAGACCCACCTTTCTGGAGCTCCTCGAAGATCCTGGTGAACATCACTGAAATCAACCCGCTGGGATCTAACTCCACCATCATCCAAATAGATCTCCGTGAACTCTGTAAGTCAATGAACCCTCTTATTCTTTTTTAAAACCTTCTTTTTCGTAGTATCTTCCCCACCTTACAGAGTATTAGAGTATCTTAGACAGTTTAACATACTGATACACGTGCAATTTGTTCTCCAGCTGTGTAAATTCACTGACATAAACACAAGTTTGCATAATGTTGGTTTTAACTTAAACATTTATGTATTTTACATCTGCTGTGAAAGAGTGCTTAGTTCAAATCTGAGTGACAGACATTTTTCAGCGCTCGTAATTGCAATTTTTTTGCTCGCATATGGACCTAAAATTTTATCTGTGCGACCTTAAAATATATTGGGAGCATATGTGCGACTGCGTAAAATTGTTGTCGTGCGACCATTTTTAACAGCAAAATGCACCATATGAACATTTCGGAGACATTCATGCATTAGGCATCTTTGCACCTAAAAACACCAAATGCAGCACTCAGGAATGGTTTGACCAGTCAACTTGCTGCAGTAAACAAAGCCTGCACCGCTTGTCTCACCTTCAAGCTCTTTTTATTGGTCCACTGTTCTAGTACAGAACGCGAATGGATTGGTTAATATCAGCTGTTAATCACTCAGTTCCGATGACATAGAGCTTCAGCCGTGAAAATGTAAAGGTCTGGACATGAGAGAATGAAAACAACACTGACAGATTTAGTTTTAGAAACCACCTAAAGTTTAAAATAATGACACATGTGATCAGTGATCATGTAAATGTCAGTCCGGCATTTACACTTTTCGAAGAGTGGATAAAAGAAGTCCAGCTGTTAATGTCTGCTATGAAAATGACTAAAGCATTCACCATAAAGCCGGTGAGACAGTTTTCAGGTAAAAGTGTTTGCCACTGAATCTATACATTTTAAGCACTAGATGTTCTATCATTTAATCCATCATTTAATCTTGACTGACACCGCGTTCACCATTGCTAAAGAGCATGTATTCACCAAGATGAAACTAATATTGCAGCTCATGAAAAGACTGTTATTGCTATTAAGATGACGTATGCAAATAATAAGTTATATGTCAGAATCATCTGTGCAATATCAGACACCAGTCATGAGAACAGCACAGTTATTATTGTTGATTCAGTTCATCTCATTTACATCAAGCAGTGCGTGCAGGGTTGGTGAGCGCATGCAGATTTTTGTTTATTTGTAAGATTTGATTAGAGTTGATTTCAAATGCAATAAATCTGTTAATATAAAACTTGTAGTAACTGTGATCATACTTTTTGGTGGGTGCGACTATTTTTGAAGTTAGGAACACCGGTGCTACCAAGAAAAAAGATTTCTTTTCGAGCCATGTATTTAAGTGCCCATGCTTCATGTCTCGACGATCGGGTTGTCGTAGTCCTAACCTTCGACTACCACCCGTTCCACAATGCACCGGCCCCTTACGGCTCCCCTGCATGTGGTGGGCCTGCAGGAGGATGGTCCCACGTCGCTCCTTTGGGCTAGGCCCGTCCGGGTTCCATGGGAAAAAACCCAGCCATCAGGCACTCACATACGAGCCCCAACCCCTGGCCTGGCTCCAAGGTGGGGCCCCGGCTGCGCCATACCAGGCGACGTCTCAGTCCTTGATGTCACTGAACTCATAAGGGGTTTTTGAATCGCACTTATTCTGACCTGTCACCTAAGACCTGTTTGCCTTAGGAGACTCTACCAGGGGCATTAGCCCCCGACAACATAGCTCTTAGGATCACTCAGGCACTTAAACCCCCCCAACATGATAAAGTGGCGGTTCATGATGGTTTGCCACCATGGCCCTGGAAAAGCGGCAGAAAATGAATGAATAAATGACTTCATGTCTCTGCACTCTGAAAACCAAATGTAAGGAGTTTAAACTGACAAGACTTTAAAACAACTGCACATGCCTTGGACATGTTAGCAAAGCTTTAAAAATACTAATAATGTGGGAAAGCATGTTAACAAAATTTTAAAACATTAGCATCATACTTAAAATATGAATTGACTTTATTGCAGTAACCATAGTGAAACCATAGTTACATGTTTTTTGTAGGAAAACTATAGTAGCCACAAAATTAATTATAGTTTTACTATGGCATTTAAATTAAAACCTTAGTAACAGAAGCTATACAATCACTGAAGCGAAGCAGGGCTGTGCATGGTTCGGTTAGTACCTGGATTGGAGACCACAATGGAAAACTGGGTTGCTACCAGGAGCCAGCAGGAGGCGCTTACCCTATGGTTTGTGTACAGTAGGTCCTAATGCCCCAGTATACTGAAGTAGAGCTTTACTGCAGTACTGATACTACAATATTACTGTAGCAAAAACATGATATTTCAATACCCTGGTATTTAAAATCACATTTTGCAACAAAAAACAAGCTTACTTCAGTTATATGTACTACAGTTTTACTATAGTAAAACCATGGTTAATTTTTGCAAAGAAAAGAAATAGCATGAAAACATGTTGATTCAACAAACATGCTAGTAATGTGCTGTATTTATGGGTTATTTATGGCATATAAAACATGCTAGCAATGGGTTGTCATATTAGCAATTCACAAGTATACTATCAATGTGGTTAAACATGCTAGTAACATATTAAACCAACACAGGCTCATGGTGAAAACGCACCCCTTTATACATTTCTGGAGAGTGGGAATTATGTAGCCAGAGCAACGTATGGCTGCATTACGTGTTTAAAATGAACACTATGGGGTGGTATGACGTCAGTGCTAACTTCAGATTCTTTTTGCACTAGCAGCGGTGGTCCAGTGAATAAAGGTTCCAGAAAGCATGTAAAACAAAAACAAAAGCCAATAAATAAAATAAACAAGTGAATAACAGGGTGAGAACATGGTAAATTCTAAAAATGTCATAATATTTAGGCAGCCGCGAAGGCTTTTTTTTTCTGGATTGCTTTTAAAACACTGTCGGTTGGGTTTAGGGAAAGTGGTGGGTGGGTCAATCAGTGCTATTGAAAACATTATCGGTTAGGTTTAGGGTAGGGGGTGGTTGGGGGTATTGGTCAGTTGGTCAGTCAGTCAGTCAGTCAGTCAGTCAGTCAGTTGACAGTGGCCTCTGGTGGTTTTATGCGAGAACAGCAGGCATGAATGGCACTTGTGAGAGAAATTTGTGTGTACACACGGAAATTAAAACTACAAAAAAAAAAGTATCTCCTGGAACGCATTTTGCGTTTATTCTGTCCAGAAATGTATACAAGGGTACGTGCCAGTAAAGAGCCTGGGTTGTGTACCCTATAAAGTAGCCAAGGCATGTTGATTGTAAAAACAATGGCAAAATACAAATTCAGATTTTTGTTGCCTGATTTGCTGAGGTTCCGCACTTTTTTGGAAAGGGGGCGGGGAGCATTAGCTAATTTGAATTAAAAAAAGACACATAAACACCAAGCTGCAATAAATGATTAAAGGTATATTTTTTGTTAATATTACACAGAGATGTATGTAGTGTCTTGTAAAATTGGCCAAAATAAAGTGCATCATAATTAAATGTTTTTAATAATGGTGTTTTAGTGAAACCAGATCCCCCAGAAGATGTTCAAGTCTCTCAGGTGGAGGGTGAGCCTACACAGTTACTGGTCCAGTGGAACTGTCCCCCATCATGGCTGGTTGGCATGTCTGCTTTTTCATTGACATATTTACTGCGCTACCGGCCAATTGGCTCCAACTACTGGTCAAAGGTAAGAACTTTCAACCTCAGCAACTTGTTATTGGTTGTATTGTATTGTTAGTTGGACACAAACAATGACATACTCTCTATCTCTCGATTTTGACTGAGGGAGTCTGCTTCATATGTTCCAGAATGCAGTGCAACTGTGATATCACAACAGTGTAATTTCCAAGTGCCCAAGGGTTTAGAGCATTTCATTTAACCCCATTCAGATGTTCCGCAAGTAGTGGACACTCGTGTAAAGTAATTAATAACATACATCTGAGGGAATGAGACAAAGGGAAGGGCTTAAAATAAATTGGAATGAAATGTAGCCATTCTCTGTAAACAGGAGACCAATCACAAACCTCTGACCAATCAGAGCGGAGGAGACTTTTTGAAAAGTGGGGCTTAAAAAGGATCCTTTAATAAACTTTAAAATTCTGAGAGAAAATAGATGATTCTGTACTGTACATTATATAAACATCTAAGTGTTCTTTTTTACCCTTAGATGCATGTAAATCCAATGTATGAGACCTCCAAAACAAAATCAGCAACCTTTAAATTAAAATAATAGGGGAAATTAAACTATTGCTTATATAATAAAGTTCAATAGGGCCCAGCAAGGTACCCATTCTGACTTTTATTTTCCTGCTTTACGACCAACACACAACCCTCATTTCATGAGTCTTCAGTAAACAGTTCTGGAGCCCCAACCCTCTCAGTGCAAACACACACACACACACACACACACACACACACACACACACACACACACACACACACACACACACACACACACAATCTCAGAAACCCACAGTTCTCTCTGCTTGGGCTGATCTTATCTACTATAACATCAGCCTGCTTGGCCTTTCATCAGACAACCAGATGTTTGCTGTCTCCCAATCCTTTTGTGTGTGTTTGTGTGTGTGTGTGTCACTGGACTGTTGAAGGCTCTGTTTACTTTATCAGATAAGTAAATAGGGAAGCCAGTTTAAAACTTGCTTGTTTTTGATTACTATGTTAGAATAAAGGGTCCCATGGTGGTGCAGCAGCACAATCGCCTCACAGCAAGAAAGTCACTGGTTCGAGCCCCTGCTGGGTCAGTTGGCATTTTTGTGTGGAGTTTGCATGTTCTCCATGTGTTCATATGGGTTTCCTTCGGGTGCTCTGGTTTCCCCCACAAGCCATAGACATGCTCTATAGGCGAATTGAATAAACTAAATTGGCCGTAGTGTATGTGTATGAGGTGGGTGTTTTCCAGCATTGCGTTGTGGCTGAAAGAGCTTCCGCTACGTAAAACATATGCTGGATAGATTGACGGTTCATTCCGCTGTGCCGACCCCTGATTTGTAAAGGCACTAAGCCGAAAAGAAAATGAATGAATGAGTGTTTGAATAAAAACAATCAGAAGCAAAAAGGACAAACTGCTGTTGAATTTAGTTAAAAAAAAGGTGATTAAGTGTATGTATAATTTTTCTTGGGTTTATGTATTTTTGAGTATGTTTTTTTTATTTAATTGTGCTTTATTCATCAAAAGTGAGAGGATTTGTGATATCACAGAAGATTTCTCTTTCAAAAATTAGCTGTTATGTTTTTTGTTCATTAAAAAATTCTAAAATTATTACATTTAGTTTCTATATAAATTTGTAAATATTTAAAAATGTAAAAAATACTACAGCTTTAATAATATTAATAATAACAATAATTACTATAATAATAACAGTATTATTATTTATTTAATTTTATATATATATATATATATATATATATATATATATATATATATATATATATATATATATATATATATATATATATATATATATATATATATATATATATATATATATATATATATATATATATATATATATATATATATATATATATATATATATATATATTAAGATGTAGTTATTTTAAATTGTAATATTTTACAATGTTGTTGTTTTTACAACAACAAAAAAAAAAGACATGCAGGTGAGCATAAGCAAGATTTTCACAAGCACACATTTTAAATGTAACTCACCACATACTTTTTAACATACAGTACCACTAGCAATAGGGATGCACGATATATTGTTTTAGAATGGATATCGCAATGTCGCCTCTCAGGACCTGCAATGGTGTGTTGGGATTTTACAGTTTAGGAATATACAGTACTCTGCATATATAAATTCACCTCTCACAAATGTATCTTTTTAATTCATATTTTTAATATGAAGCTCTACAATATTATATTTCTGTATATACATTAGATTAGTAAGTACTGCAGCCAAATCTAGAGCTTATCTAATAAAATAACTTACGGTAACGGTCCAAAATCCAGTACACACAAATTTAAGTTATAGAAAAATATTAAATACAAACTTAAAAAGAGGAATAATCAAAAGAAGCAAATTTAAGTTTGGTTAAAATTGTATTTATATATATATATATATATATATATATATATATATATATATATACATATATATATATATATATATATATATATATATATATATATATTATTTTTTTTTTTTTGTAGTTTTTTTGTAGTTTTTTTGCAGTATTTTGCTTAAATTTAATTGTATTGTCTTTCAATTTCTAAATATGTTTGATAACTAAAATTTTATTTTAATAAATAAATCTTTTTAATAAATCTGTTTTGTTTAAATGTACCAAATAAATTTCCTATATTCACTGAAAAATAGATCATTCATTCATTCATTCATTCATTCATTTTCTTTTCGGCTTATTCCCTTTATTAACCTGGGGTCGCAACAGAGGAATGAACCGCCAACTAATCCAGCATATGTTTTACGCAGCGGATGCCCTTCCAGCCGCAACCCATCACTGGGAAAAGAAATGGATCTAAATATTCATTTTCAAAATAGACTATACTCAATTATTCTTAAGTTACTGCAGAGTTTAACCTTAATGGAGTAAAAGTTTATCGTTTTCACATGTTTTTAAGTGCTAAGAGCATTCAGACCCAATATTTAATATAAAATAATCTTTTTTTTTTTTTTTTCGTGCCTGAATACGGTTTGACTATACTCTAAAAACCATAAAGCATTGTTTTTTCACTATTTTGCTTATTACATTTCATGCATGATTTGTTCCCTTACAAAATCATACCATTTGATTGAAAATGAATACATATTTTTCCAAATAGGGCTATTAAGAATGTTGTGGTTGACGTGTTCAACATGCAAAGAAATATGGATAAGATCAAGAAAGTACTTTTTGAAGGCAAGTTTCAGTCAAAAAAAAAATATTGTCGCATCACCAGGCACACTTTCAGCTTTCGACTTTTGTTTTAATGTAATTTGATACCGCATGGTGAACGGAAAGAAAAACCTCCGTATTTCGTGACTCTTTGCTCATTTGAGGTAATCAAATCGCTGATTACACTGCTTACACTCTCTTAAAAAGAGTACTATCTTAATCATATTAAAATAGGAGAATTGGTGTCTTATGTACATGTACTCAGAAAGTCTCTGGTGAAGTCGCAAACTGTCAAAGACAGCGCATTACTCTGCCATTCAGCATGAACCCTTCAATGTTTCATTAAGTTTGACATGTTTCCTCATTAAACGCAACGAAAGCGCCTGCTTCGCATTATTGTGCCAGAATCCTTGTGAAATACAGCTATACTTAAGAACGCTTAGTTTAAGCAAATTTGATGAACGCGATCATGCGGGTTGAATCTGAAGGGAGTCACATACCTGAAGAGCGGTGGGGGTGAGTTGCGCGCGACGTACCTGAAGAGCGGTGGGGGTGAGTTGCACGCAACTTACCTGAAGAGCTAAGAGGGATGCGGTGGAGAGTGCATTTGTGGGATACTCCTAGTCTTAGCAACTGGATGAATGTAAAGGACTGAGCAAAATTGTTTGTACTTTATAATTAATGTTCTCAACTTACAGCAATACAACTTTACAATGAGTGCAACTGTTTGTATTCAATACTTTATTATTATTATTATTATTATTATTATAACTTTCCATTTTCCATATCTGCAACACCTGTATTTTTTTTTTTTTTTTTTTGTAGTCCACTTAGAGTCCAACTTGGAAATCATTTTTTTTTCTTTATTGGCATTGATTGTTTTGAAATTCAAATGGCATTAACATGCCTGTTTTAATTTCTGTAATAATTATGGCTGTCAAGCCAGGATCTTGATGGTTTATTGTGGGTTTGTTGTTTACATGAAGAAATCTGTCTTTGTCTTGCGTTTATATTAATTTTACATTTGAATAGTCAAAATTACACGTTTCAGTCTTTTAAATGCAATTAATCGTGATTAATTTTCCAAAAAAAAAGTGCAATTAATTAGTTTTTTTAATCAATTGACAGCACTAATATTAATTAAATATGTAAAATGTATTACAAATGGATTATTATGAATCAGTGGCAATAAATCAGTACTTGAAGTGATCTGAATCTGACTCAAGAGTGTTGTTGTTTGATAAATGTTGTTTTGTGTTTATCTGTGTTCAGGTGGACATAGAGTCAGACACTGAGAGCACCAGTCTGATAATAACAGACGCTCTGATTGGTCACCTGCATCAGATCCAGATCAGAGCTCAGGACGCCCTCATCAACCACAGCCAGTGGAGTGAGTGGAGTCACATGGTGGAGGCCAAACCCTGGACAGGTCAGTGAACACGCACGCACACACACACACACACACACACACACACACACACACACACACACACACACACACACACACACACACACACACACACACACACACACACACAATTGCAAATGAACTAGTTTCAATGAGATATACAGGCATATGTGTTTTGCACCATTTTTAGGTTGTATAATTAAAGTTATGATGGTTCATTCCACTATGTGACCACTGAAAGAAAAGGGACTAAGCTAAGCCAAAGGAAAATGAAGGAATTAAAAGAAATTAATTGTAGTTATAATTTTTTTGTGTGTGCAGTAATTTTATTTATTTATTTGTTTGTTTGTTTGATTATTTGTTTGTTTGTTTGTTTATTTATTTACTTATTTATTTTCATTTTTGACTAGAACTTTTAGTTAACTAACACTTGATTGACAAGGAGATGTAAAGATATGACAGTATTCTATTTTTTTTTTTTAAAGCCTTCCTTGAAGTGTTGTTCATAAGGCTGTCGTGAAACCTTTTTAATCATGACATAACATGTCATGAATGTTAAATGCAACTGTCATTAGGTGTCATTTGTCTAGTTATTACATTTTTAATGAGACTTGACATTACCAAGACAACAAAACGTGTCATAAATCCATCATAAACTTGACTGTCATGAAGTCATTATAAATGTCATGATATGTCACCTCAACTACAGGGTATACAAGCTAAACTTGTCATTAAAATTCATTAAATATTAATGATGCTATTAAAAATTAAGTAATGACACTTTTAATGAGACATTGTAATGCCAAATACAGAAAGTGATAAGAAAAATATTCATGACACAATTATAATAGCCTCATGACAATCATGTTTATGACAGATTTATGACATGTTTTTTCTTGGTAATGTCAAGTTGTCATTATAAAGATAAAGGCTGGTTGTGATGTATTTGTTTATGTCAAGTTGTCATGACAAACGATGTCATCTTTGCATTTAAAGTGAAATAACTGAGCAAATGACACTTAATAACAGTATCATTCATATTTGTGACATGTCATGATTTCAAAGGTTTCATCATCAATTAAAGTGTTACCTTTTTTGTCTTAATGTTTGTTAGTTATTTAGTAAGCTTGGTAGTTACAATGCTAGTGTTCCATTTTTAATAATATATTTGTGTGCATTGAAAAGTAACACATCATTCATTCCTTCCTTCCTTCCTTCCTTCCTTCCTTCCTTCCTTCCTTCCTTTATTCATTCATTCATTAATTCATTCTCTTTTCAGCTTAGTCCCTTTATTAATCAGGGGTCACCACAGCAAAATGAACCACCAAACTACCTAGCATATGTTTTACACAATGGATGCCCTTCCAGCTGCAACCCAGCACAAACACCCACACACTCTTTCTTTCAGGGCGTAGTCACACTATGTACAGTTGCCTTTAACTGGTCCTAAACGCGCTTGTCCCGCCTCCCTTCTCCCCCGACGGCCTGCACTTCCATTGCATTCGGGCCGGAGCATACTAACATCATCGATGATGCGCTGTTCGGGTTAAGAAGCTCTCTCGCTCAGCACAGTGGAGATTTCTTTATATCGTTTTAGACGTTTGGGATGCAGTGACATGAGATCAAATATTTTGCTGAACTGAGCCACTTTTGACGCTCATAAACAAGTCCTCGTGCTGCAGGAATTAGGAGGTTTGTTAAAGATGCAATGGTGGTGCAATAAGGGGTTTAATAATCTATGACAGTTTGCGTTCATTAAACAGTAAGAATGATTAATAAATCCAAATGAAACAGTCCCCTAAAAGTCACGTCTTGAGCCCGAATTGTAAGACAAGATGTGACTCTCTGGCACAACTCTACCAACTGGTCCAGGGCCGGCCAACTGAACCACGCCTGAGCTCGATTCAGAGCATTCACAACGGTCTGGGAAATGGGCCTGGGCACGGTCGGATAGCATAGTGTGAGTGCGCCCTCACAATACTACATGTTCTTGGACTGTGGGGGTGCACCCAAGGAAACCCACGCAAACACGAGGAGAACATGCAAACTCCACACAGAAATGCCAACTGACCCAGCTAGGGCTTGAATATGTGATCTTATTGCTGTGAGGCGATCGTGCTACACACTGTGCCACCAAGACACCACTTTTACATCAATAACAACTTAATATATAATAAAAAATAGTTTAGAAAATTGTTTCATTGTTTGTTAACTAATGATAACTAATTAAGTTATTTAAGATATTTACTTTTTGTCTATTTTAAGATGTTTAAGTAATGCTAGTTATCATCTTTAAAGTAATCCGATGCTTTAATTCATTTTCATCATTGATGAATGATAACTAATGTTTGCTAGCTTGATTGTTAATTGGTTAGTAAGTAAAAACTAAAGTGATAAATAAAGTAAAAAAACTAGTGATAATATTAACAAGAATAATATTAACAAGGGCGGAATGGTGGCTCATTGGTTAACACAGTTGCCTCACAGCAAGAAGGTCACTGGTTCAAGTCCCAACCAGGCCAATTGGCATTTCTGAGTTTGCATGTTCTCCTCGTGTTAGCGTGTTTCCTTCCAGTTTCCCCCACATCCAGACATGCGCTATCCGCTTGTTAAGTGTGACGTCACGCGAAGCGGCTTCCGGGTAAAAGTGCTCTATTCAGCTGTATGGGGAGACTCATAAAATGGTAATAATAAACGTTTACAAAGCAATTTAATACTTGCGAAAATCACGATCGCAGTACATATGCTCATGCCCATATCTAATGGCCAGAAAGTGATTTATTTTTTTATAAATTGTTAAAATGTTGGTATTTGTTATGCAGCAAGCCCAGCGATTGTTGAGTACACAATGACTTTATATAAAATTAACTTTAATGTGTGATATCAATAAAAAGTTATCATAAACGAATAATGTCTCTAATCAAATAAGTGGCGCTTGGACCTAGAAACAGTATTACATGCGTCACCAACACGTCACCACTTTCAAGCGGATAGGTGAATTGAATAAATTAAATTGGCCATAGTGTGTGTGTGTGTGTGTGTGTGTGTGTGTGTGTGTGTGTGTGTGTGTGTGTGTGTGTGTGTGTGTGTGTGTGTGTTTGTGTGTGTGTGTGTGTGTGTGTGTGTGTGTGTGTGTGCGTGTGTGAATGAATATATATGGGTGTTTCCCGATACTGGGTTGCAGCTTAAAGGACATCCGTTACATAAAACATATGCTGGAATAGTTGGCGGTTCATTCCACTGTGGCAAACTCTAAAATAAAGACTAAGCCAAAGGAAAATAAATGCATGAATTATATTAACAGATATTTTGGTAGACATTGCAGTAAATAAAAAGATTAATACTTTAGATTTGTGTTTCAGTGTAAAGTTGGTGGGTTGGTTAATCAGAGCAAGGGATCAGAAATAAGTGCATGCAAATACTCAAACTCTGAATCACTTTTTTTTGGGGTTTGTTTGTTTTTATGTACCAGTGTTTTAATGTACTATGTTTTCGCCATCATCCATCAACTCTTGCAGATTACTAATGTAATAATGGTGTAAATCAGATCAGCATGTTCCCTCAGGATGTTGGATGCAGTTCTAAGGCTGATAAAGCTGATAAATTTAATAAAGTAAGGTAATTATGTTTAGATGTTGTTGGCAACTTATGTTTAGCATACTTTTTTATTATGCATAATAAAACGTTCAGTATTTATTTATTTTTTTTCTTGTGTGTTTGTTTAAAAGAGTCTACTTAAGTCGGTCAGGTTATGGAAATTAAATAAAATTAGATAAATGAACATAAAAAGTTTAGTTAAATTAAAATAAATAAAACATTTAAATGTATTTCAATTGAGCTTTATTATTTAAATATTCAAATAATTGAATTTCTTTTTTTAATTTTCTTAAAACTAAGTTAAAAAATATAAAACTAAGAAAACTAAGAAAAACGTTTAAAAAAAGTAAAACTATATTGAATAATTAAAACAATTATACAATAAATAAGCAATGCAATATTAATGTTGCTTGTCAGACAATAAACAAAGTAATTCTGTTAACTATATGAATGTAAATTAAATAAAAATACAATAAAATAAAATGGAGGAAAACTTATTCTGACATGACGACTTTTCAGGGGAGCTGGTCATGAATAATTCAGAAGTCATAAATACATATAATTGTATTTGTTTTGCAATTTTAGAACCTCCAAAAGAGCCAACAGAGGAACCGGATTACATACTTCAGTCCTATCCAGTGAGGACAACAGACAAGTCTACAGGTATTTACTTAAAAAATGAATCCAAATCCAGCATATGCTTTTGCTTAGAGTATAATGTGAGTAACACATTCAGAGATCAAACACAGAGCATCTGCAGCATTTAAGATCTGAGCCTGATTTATGAACACCCATATGCTTAAGAGTCACTTGCGGTGGGCGGAGTTTCCCCCTTCATCTGGCTTTGACCAATCAGAGCATTCCAAAACGTAGGTCAAGTGACAGACACCAGGGTGACTCATTCTGCTGTTCATTAACTAACTGTTTCCAGGCTGTTTATTTATATCTGTTCATCCAGCGTGCGGACATGCTGTACAGTAGCAGAGTCATATTTATCAGCACAAGTACATTCATTTTGAATACTGTAATAATTAGAGCTGTTTAATTATTTAAGATAATTTGTTTAATCAGATTAAACGTCTTCTGTGAACTGTATGATTCATATGAGGATGTTGTTGATTTAAAAGCAAAGCATAATACAGTGCCTTGTATGTCTATTATTAGTTGTTAATATTACACTTTTGTATCATATTAGCTGTGTTTTTCTTTAGTTTTGGTTAGGTTACTTTAGTTTTGATTTTAGAGTGTTCATTTTGCTCTGTTTTGTTTGTAACATTTGACTCATTTGAATTTGTTTTACTTTTTTTTCTGCTTTTATTATTTTGTTTTGTTTATTTTTATTTTGTTACAGCATGTTGTATTTAATTTTATATTGATTTGTTTTCCTATAGTTTGTTTAATTTTGTTTGCATTTTGTTTTTCAATATAATGTTGTTTTATTTTTTATTTGTTTTATTTTAATGTTTTGTTTAATTTTGTTTGTGTTTTGTTGTTCAATGTAATGTTGTTTTATTTTATTTAGTTTCTTTTGTTTTATTTTAATGTTTGTGTAATTTTGTTTGTTTTGTTGTTCAATATAAGATAATTTTATTTTTATTTACTTTATTTTGTTTTATTTGGTTTTATTTTAATGTTTTGTTAAATTTTGTTTGTTTTGTTGTTTAATTTAATGTAGTTTCATTTTATTTTTACTAGTTTTACATTTTTATCAAAATTAAGATGTATTTTATTTATTGTGTGTATTGTTTAATTTTATGTTAATTAGCTTTTTTGTTTTGGTGTTTTGTTGCTTTTTTACATTTTCTTTTTTGTTATGTTTGTAACATTTGACTTGATTAAAAATTGCTTTTATAATTATTTTTTATTTAGTTTCATTTTGTTTTTGTATTTTTGTTTTGTTTTGTCATTTTATATTGACAGAATATATATTGTTCTTAAATATAGTATTGTTTTATTTTTATTTTAATGTTTTGCTTAATTTTGTTGTTCAATAGAGGGTAATTTTATTTAGTTTTATTTTATTTGGTTTTATTTTAATGATTTGTTTTATTTTATTTGTGTTGTGTTGTTTATTATAATGTTGTTTTATTTTATTTAGTTTTTTTATTTTAATGTTTTGCTTGAATTTGTTTGTGTTCTGTTGTTCAATAGAGGGTAATTTTATTTAGTTTTGTTTTATTTGGTTTTAAATTAATGATTAGTTTAATTTGGTATGTGTTTTGTTGTTCAAATAAGGTAATTTATTTAGTTCCTTATTTTATTTTAACTTTTTATCTAACGTTGTTTGTATTTTGTTGTTTAATATAATGTGGTTTTAACTCGTCTTATTTGGTATGATTTTAATGTTTTGTTTAATTTTGTTTCTTTTGTTGTTTAATATGTTGCGTAATGTTTTATTTAAATTTGTTTTGTTTGTTTTATAATTGTCATTATTGTTTTCATTTGATTACACTTTGTTTTGTGCTTGATATTGTATTACTTCTGTTTTATACGTGCTTTTTATTTTGTTTGTGTCTCATTCCATTTCTGTCTTAGATTCGTCTTCAAACCATAATGGAAATGTTGGACTGTTGGTTTTGTTGGGGCTGTTTGCAGCGATCATGGTGGCTGTCTTATTAACAATCATCACGCTTCTTTGGTGAAAAATTGTTTTACATTAACCTATATTTTACAATACAAACCAAATAAATGGCATTCAATAATAAGACAATGTGTGACCTGATATCGCAACTATTCTCCTCACAGGGTGAGACAAAGGAAACAAGACAATGTGAAGAAACAAGAACTGACTTCTATGCTGAAGATGAAGTCCATACCAATCTAAAGTAAGCTGGCACAGACACTTGTTTCCATTCCCACATTCCCTTCTGCCGTTTTGGCGATTTGCCCATTTTTAGTTCAAACTGTTTAGAAAAAAAAAGCCCTGCTAAACTATCCATTTATTTTTATTTACTGTGTTGACTTTAAACTAACAGAAATCTAAGTCCGCCAAACATGCAGTCAACAAAACCAACCAGATTACCAACTAGAGGAATAACAAATCAATTTTTTCATACTCACTTAATTTAGGGAGTGACAGCTGCCTATGTGGCATTGGATCTCCTAAATGACTGTTTTGGGTGTGTGTGGAATATAGTGACATAATCAAAACCAAAGCACTGTTTTTTCATCTCACAACTACGCACAAAGCAGCAGCTTACAAACATGAGAATATTGAGTTGTTGATATTAGTAGCTTGAGATGTTTTATATTTAGAAACACTGTAAACAAGAACATCGCAAGTTGTTTACGTTGTTGTGGAGCTGCTGCTTTTCTCTCTGTCTGCACTGTAGTTTAATGTGGTTTGCAAATCCTGTCAACCACAGGGCTGCTGTGAGGAACGTCTGCGGAGACCATCATTTACAAACGAGTCAGGACAAATGTCTGTTTCAGTATTTTTCTATCCGCGCACCCAAAAGAGAGACATCTGTTTAAATGAACACACATTTAGGCCTTATGCAACTATTAAAATGGATATTGAATCGATTAATGTTGAGGTAATGCTAAAGAGGTCACCTTACTCTTCACATTATTGAGACTATAGTTTTACTATAGTAATATTGTATAAATACTACTTCATTATGTACTTATGATGGTTTTATTTCAAATGTCAAAGTAAAAATATTGTTAGTTTTGTGTTTACCATGCTATAAGTGAATATAATCTATGGCAAAGAGTATGTAAACTGGCCAATGAAATGCCAACAGAATTAGCAGCATCAGCTTGCGCACATGGTGCTTGTTGCAATAAATTTAGCATAAAAGCACAGGGAAAGCAAGAAGATGGAATCTTTTCACTTCAGAGACTTCTACAGCCTTCTGAGAAAGTAGATGAGGGTTCCTTCTGCTGATGAGGGTTCCTTCTGCTTCGAGGGAACAAGAGCGGTCTCCCGGTCCGGAGTGTGTACACGCAGCGGCAGACGGTCGAGCTGGGCTTCTCCCTTGCCTGGCGTTATTTGGGTCCAGTCCTCCAGAGTGGTTTGTATAAAGTTGCAAGAACTGCGTTGCATGTCTGGGGGTCCAGCATGTTAATGCGGTGCTCGTGGGCAGTTCATGTCGCCATTGAGATGCCTATTTGTTGCGCAGTTATGATTGTGGCTAGCCCTTGCAAAACGGCGAACCACCCCAGCTGTCTCCTGCACTGCAGCAGGCATTTGGGCAGGTCTGAGGGTTCCAGTGGGAGATTATCTGTTGCCTCACGCTCCTCCAAGTGCTCCATCTAAGCTTCGGGCAGAGGAAGCAATCCGTCTAACCAGATGGTAGCCCTTGCGTTCGATGACACCGGGGACCAGACTTCCACGGCTGCATCGGAGGGTAGGCTTTCATTGTCCAACGAGGATCCAGACCCGCTCACCCCCTCTGGGCAGGTGAGCGCTATCAAAACGGATTGTAAAACAGACAAGTTAGCCATGCTTTCCTGGGCTGCTTTGGCCGTGGGGTTGGAGATGGTTTATCCCCCAGCTCCACGGCCGGACCGACTAGATAAGTGCTACGTAGAGGACAAGAGGGCCAAGCCTTCGAAGCCTCTCATCCCCTTCTTCCCGGAGGTGCACAGTAAGCTCGTGCAGTGCTGCATGTCCCTCTGCCCTCACCACTCCTAATGGTGCAGCAACCAGGGGGTATGAGGCGATTACTCAAGTCGAGCGCACCATTGTGGTCAATCTTTGTCCGCATGGTGCCTCTTTTTGGCAGGGTCTGTCTCGTCTACCATCCAAAGCCTGTAGGTTATCTGCCTCCCTCAGAGCCAGAGCTTACAAGGCTGCGGGCCAGGCTGCTTCCGCCTTGCACGCTTTGGCCACCTACCAGCGCAAACAAGCGCAGGCACTGGCCCAGCTGCACGAGGGTGGGTCCGACTCAAGCTTGCTTTGCAAGCTCCGCAATGCAATGGACTATGCTCTTCGGACCACTAAGTCTGCTGCGTGTGCGTTGGGGAGGATAATGTCCACATTATTGGTCTAGGAGGGCCACCTCTGGCTAAACCTGGCTGATATGCGCAAAGTCGACAAAGTCCGCTTTGTTGACTCCCACATATCCCAGGATGGCCTGTTCGGCGACACCGTGGGTGAATTCACCCAGGAATTCAAGGCGGTGAGAGAGCAGTCTGATGCGATGGGTAATGTCATCTATCAGCAGGACCGTATTCCCGCTCCGCCCGGCGAGCCATGCATGTTTGCTTCTCCTCGCTGAAAGTGCTTGCTACGAGAGCTGCCGTGCCTGCGCCTATGGTGCAGGGGGCGCGTCTAGCACCTCAAAAGCAGGCAGCCCCCCCTGTTACATTCGGTTACATTAGTGCTGTTACGTTCGGTAACTGGACCACAAAGCGTCCCTGGGAAAGGTCATCCGGAGAAGAGGGTATTTGCCCTTTCCCTGCTGGAGGGCCGGGCCCCATTTCCAAGGGCACTTTTCACTGCCATGCAAACATCAATGTTAGAGCACTTTTCCACTTCCCTGGATGTAACAGCCCAAACTCTGCCAGTCTGGGACGCTATGCTTTAGAGCTCACAGGTTCTGTGCTTTTTGCCAGTGGCTTACAGGCGCTTGGAGGACGCCTTTCTCCCACTCCTCGAGCCCTCCCCCTCCAGAGCTTGGGTGCAAGGTGAGAGTGAATCTCTCGCCTCCAGCTCTTCCGCGGGACCCTTGCACTTCCCGGATCAGCACACCCACTCCGCGCTGCCGCACTGCTGGTACGTCAGTGATGTAGTGATGAGTCCATTACCGAGAGCACTGCCTGCCTGGTTAGCATGGGCCATGCCTTCGCAGTGGCTCATATGCACAATCTGACTCGCACAATCTGACTCGTCTTTGCAAGACGGCCCCCCAAGTTCACGGGTGTGTATTTCACCAGGGTCAGCCCCGTCCACCCCTATCTTGGGAGAGGAGATTGCTGTCCTCCTGGCGAAGGATGCAATCAAGCTAGTCCATCCAGCTGAGATGGAGAGTGCGTTTTACAGCCCCTACTTCATCATGCCCAAAAAGAGTGGTGGGTCACGGCCAATCCTAGAACTACGCGTTTTGAACCGCTGTCTGCACAAGCTGCCGTTCAGAATGCTCATGCAGAAGCACATCCTCCGGTGCGTTTGTCCTCAGGATTGGTTTGCAGCAACAGACCTGAAGGACGCAAACTTCCATGTCTCCATTCTTCCACACCACAGTCAGTTTCTGTGGTTTGCGTTTGAAAGTCGAGCTTGGCAATACCAAGTCCTCCCCTTCGGGCGCTCTCTGTCTCTGCGGGTCTTGACCAAGCTCGCGGAGGGTGCCTTAGCGCCCCTTCTGCTCACGGGCATCCGCTACTCAATTATCTTGATGACTGGCTGATTTTAGCCCACTCTTGGGAGCAATTAATTATGCACAGAGACAAAATGCTCCGGCACCACCACCTATTGGGGCTTCAGGTCAACCAAGAAAAGAGCAAACTCGCCCCAGTGCAGAGGATCTCTTTCTGGGGCTGGAGCTGGACTCGGTCACCATGACAGCGCGTCTCTCCAGAGAGCGCATTCAGCTAATGCTGAACTAAGAGAGTTCGACAGCAAAATAGTGGTCCCACTGAAATTATTTCAGAGGCTCCTGGGACATATGGCATCAGCAGCCACTGTCACGCCGCTTGGATTACTCCATATGAGACCACTTCAGCACTGGCTTCACGATCGAGTCCCCAGACGCACATGGCACGCGGGCACACACCGAGTCACTGTTACTGCGATGTTTCACCTCGCCCTCAGCCCCTTGGAATGACTCCCGTTCCTACAGGCCGGAGTGCCTCTAGGACAGGCATCCAGTCATTTTGTTGTTTCAAAATATGCTTCCAGCACGGGCTGGGGGCTGTGTGTTGTTCCTACCACACCGTTTAAAGACCAGGTAGAGGCAGACAAAGCCCTTTCATTACTTTGTCCAGTTCGTGCTTTGCAAATTTATCTGTACCGCATTCAGAGCTTTAGATCATCTGAACAGCTCTTCGTCTGTTGTGGTCGTCCATATATTCTGCCATAATATTATATCCCATTTAGGTAGCAGGTGGCCTCCGTAGCGTCCTCCCCTTAGGGACTGCATGCTTTCCCAACGTACTGTCATATTTAAATTCCTAGACGCTTACGGCTCCCGAAAAATATATCTAAATTCGTAAATCTTCTTTGAAGTGGGATAAGTAAGGGCCAGGGATCATGTTGGAAGACCGCGCCTCTCTATGATAGACACTATGCCTGGCTATCCTCTCATCGGAGGCGAAGATAAGGTGCAGTCATTGTGGCGTTTTCCAGACATTTCCCCATACGTGGATTAAATCCACTTATAGCACTAAAGTTCCCCATCCGAAGGGGAGCGCTCTGGTTACTAAAGTAACCCTCGTTCCCCGAGGAAGGGAACGGAAATGCTGAATTGCATCTCCATAACAATTGTTCCTTAGTTGTTGATATTAGTCTCTTTAGCTTAAAAAGTTTGCATCTTCTTGCTTTCCCTGTGCTTATATGCTAAATAGATTGCAACAAGCATCAGTTGCCCAAGCTGATGCTGCCAAGTCATTTGGCATTTCATTGGCCCGTTTATATACTCTTTCAGATGATTGGCTTTCTGAACGAAATCCCCATATATGGATTAAATCCACTTATAGCATTTCCATTCCCCTCCACTCTATAGCTAGGGCCTGTTAGAATCTGTGGACATTTTTTGCTATTTCTGCACAGAATTTTGTAAAAAATCTGCAGATTTTTGCCGAATGATTTTGGGAGTATCGCAACTGAAAACGTAATATATGAAAAAAAAATAAAATAAATATTTAATGCTTACAGTGCAAATTCAATTAGATCCGCTTATTTGGTAAGAAAAGCAAGTCTCATATAATAGATCTACTAAAAAACAAAATGTTACTTTACAAATTATATTGTAAATAAATCATATCAACATTTTCATATTAGACAATAATATTACTGAAATAATTTAAAAACTGAATAAATATAAATTTACACACAAATAAATGAATAGACTCAATGATGGGCTAAAAATCTGCGCAATTCTGCAGAATTCTGCGGATTTCTGCACACACAAATGTGTGGGCCTACTTATTGCTGAAAAGCAAACCAAAATAATAAATAAATAAAAAATAATAAATGTAAAACCATGAGATGTGTGACATATCAGCAGATTTCTTTAATATACTAGTATAGTATGTTGGCTTGTAAGATGACAAACTACTGCTCCAGACCATTTTTAAGCTCATTAAATGAAATATAGCTGCTCAACTTCTTGCAGTAGCTAGCTACTGGAAAAGCTACATTGTAACATAAGTAGCTGAATTTCTGTCAAGTTATTGTGAATTGTAGCTAAGCTAGCACCTAGCTACTCGCTAGCAGTAGATATATACATTAGATGTCACCTACCTTGTTGTTGTCTATTGGAAGGAATGCGTCAATAGAGCCACCATTTTAGTACAGGGTAGCGCTCCTTTGAAATGAATGCAGGACCAAGCTGCAGTGGAGGACTGTGGCCATCCAAAGCCAGAGATATACATATATAAACATATATCTATGATCAGGAGTTTTCCCGGAGGTCAGTATGCAATTATTTTATTATTTTTTTTTATTATTACGAAAATTATAATTTTACATCTTTATAATTTTACACTTTTCTACATTGATGGAGAAGTGATTGCACAGGTATTCCTGACAAAAAGCTTGTGTTTGTGGAAATGTACTATCCACCCTCCCTGTTAAATTTGATCTAATCCGTGTCCTGAAACACACCACCTCCTCTCCTGCTTTCACTTCTCATTCTGACGGAGAAAGTGATTCGTTTGTGAATTAATGAACGACTCCATTATGAACGACTCCTTCACTAACAGACAATAATACAAGTTTCTGGCACTGCAGCATCTCGTTGTCATATTTCTTTTGCATTGCTTGCTGATTTTGTTCAACAAAACTAGCATAAGCTGAGTATTTAGTGTGAGTTGGTGCTGCTTTTCCTTATGGTGAATGCAGTAAGAGACTGTATTATCATCAATAACGTTACCTGTTTAGCACAAAAGTTTATAGCATAGAAAAACGTAAAAAACTAAACCTAAACATATGAAATGTTCTGCCTTTGTGCTTAGTTTTCTTTATTTACTCGTTACTACGCCCGTAGGCAGCGCTAAAGTCCAGCATCTTTACGTAGAAACAGTCTTGACTAGTGCGGTTGAATGACTTTTGTCCTGGGAGCACTGTACAAATGTGGCGGCGCTATTGACACATTCTCAGAGTCTCTATGCGATATCTAGTACATATATATCTATGCTCGCTAACACTGTTAGTCTAATGCTAGCATGTGTTAGCTTCTCTATTAGATGGCACTAGCATGTGTTGGCATCTTTCCCCATGAAATCTAATTACATTTTTAGATGCTAGCATCAGAATGTGTGTCCTATATCTACAGGGGTTGGACAATGAAACTGAAACACCTGTTTTTAGACCACAACAATTCATCAGTATAGTTATGGTCTCCTTTTGCAGCCAATACAGCATGAAATTGTTTTGGGAATGACAGATACAAGTCCTGCACAGTGGCCAGATGGATTTTGAGCCATTCTTCTTGCAGAATAGTGGCCAGGTCACTATGTGATGATGGTGGAGGAAAAATTGAACTATCCTTCAAAAACTCTACCTGAAGAGGACTGAAAATCAATATTTAGCTGCTATCATTTGCTTTTATTGCTGTAATACAAAACTGCACACATTAATACTTAATCATATCATCACATTGTTCATCACACGACTCATTTACAGTAATAGCTAGTTTGTATCCAGTTATGAGCACTGACTGCTGTAAATTAATAATGTTAAAAACTGAGACATAAACAACATTACTTTGAACTTTTTTTTTTAGATCTCAGTTTGTGAGTGAAGGGAAAATGAGAAGCTGTAAACATGATGATTTATATGAGAAACGCCTGCACTGTATTAGTCTGTCATCTTCCACTCGCTCTCTCACATGATGTAATAATTACCAACTGAATGAAAATGAACATGCTTTCATTATTTAGTCACTCTCATGTCATTCCAACTTCCAGATTTGGAATGGTATGAGAGTGAGTAGATAATGAAAGCATGTTCATGCTGTTTTTATGGGTTTAATATTTATGTGTAAAAAATAAGCATTCATGTTTCAGTAAACAAAACAAACAAAAAAAATGTTTAAAGAAAATAGAAAATGTACAAACTTGTTAAACACTCTGGCCTTTATTAGGTACACCTTACTAGTACCGGGTTGACCCTCTTTGCCTTCAGAACTGCCTTAATCCTTCAAGACAGATTCAACAAGATACTGGAAATATTCATCAGAGATTTTGGTGTATATTGACATGATAGCATAACGCAGTTGCTGAAGATTTGTCAGCTGCACATCCATGATGCGAATCTCCCGTTCCACCACATGTACCCAATTGAATTGAGGTCTGGTGACTGTGGAGGCCATTTGAGTACAGTGAATTTTCATGTTCAAGAAACCAATCTTAAGATTATTTGCGCTTTATGACATTGTGCGTTATCCTGCTTGAAGTAGCCATCAGAAAATGGTACACTGTGGTCATTAAGGGATGGACATGGTCAGCAACAATACTCAGGTACATTGTGGTGTTGATATGTTGTTCAATTGGTACTAATGGGCTCAAAATGTGGCTATTCTAGAGATAGTTGTGTGTGAAAATCCCAGTAAATCAGCAGTTTCTGAAATACTCAGACCAGCCTTTCTGACCGTTCAAAAATTAATTAAATCACCTTTCTTCCCCATGCTGATGCTCAGTTTGAACTGCAGCAGATCGTCTTGACCATTTCTACATGCCCAAATACATTGAGTTGCTGTCATGTGATTGGCTGATTAGAAATTTGCATTAACGAGCAGTTGGACAGGTGGTACTTAATAAAGTGGCCGGTAAATGTATATTGTTCAAATTGGGGTTTTTTTTTTTTTCAATCAGGGAAAAACTGATGTCAATTTTATCAAGTGTCAATTTTAGTAATAATAATAATAATAATAATAATAATAATAAAAATAAGTTGTTTGATGTCTTGTTTTTTTTTTTTTTGTTCTTATGTAGGCTACAGTATATTGTGCATTTGTTTTGTTGCTTTTTTGTTTGTTTGTTTCTTTTTTGTTTATTTCATTAACTTTTGTTTAAAAAATGTGCAACAAACAAACAATTAAATAAATAAATAAATAAATACATATCCCCTTCCCCCTAGTATGTAAAGTGAATGAAAAAGTGAACTGTTGCTCTATAAGAGTGTACCTTTTTCTCTTTAAACTCCAGATTTGAGAAGTTGGTCGTCTCCAGTTCGGTCCTCATATGGGAATCACCACCACTGCCACTGCAGCTAACAGCCTTCATTACCCACAATCCACCTCTCTCTTCTTAGCCAATTAGAAGATGCACTCAGTCCCATCAACTGTGAACATGTACAATCTACAAATGTAGCACAATGCAATGGAAAAACATGGATTTCTCTTGGTTTTCCCTCTCACTGTCTTGGCTTTTAACCGCTCACAGCAAGTACCTGGATGATGAAAAACATTTTTTAATCTTCCTCCTCCTCGATGTTTCTCAGCTCACTCCACTGGACTCTAGACACATGGATGCTGTTGAAAGCCAGCAGCAAACAGGGCATTATGGGTAAAGTGGTGAAAAGTAGACACTCTTCCACCTTTAGACAGCTGCTATCTGTGGAGAATGGTGTTTTTCTGTCTTGCGCTTCAGTGATGGACACGCTGCTCTTGCTTTGGAGAAACAAAGACTGTTTTGTCTGTTTTTTTCCTTCGATTTGGAGCAGGTGGACACATCTGCAGCTGATCGCTTTCGTCTGCTTCATTTACAGCCAGATGTGGGATCTACAGTTCTCCATTATAAACTCCTGTTAAACGCATTTCTCATCAGCCTTGGAGTTCATGTCTTGAAAATAAACACCAGCTGGGATGTTTTTTCTTTTTTTTTTCTTAAAGCTGGTGCTCAAGAAACTAAAAGACCTTCAGTGCACTTATTATTATTAGTTTTTTTTTACTTTTATTTTATTTTAAGGCAAGACACTCCAGGTAAAAATTATTATTTTTTATTTGATCTTATATTTTTAGCATCTTTAAACATTTTAGCTTTGAACAAAGTGTCACTTTTTAGTCTAATGCACAGGTGTCAATTCCAGTTCCTGGAAGGCTGCAGCTCTGCATAGTTTAGTTTTAACCCTAATTAATCACACTTGATCTTTAAACTATGTCCCTTAAATAGTCATTTAGGCTTGTTTGAAACCTAGAGGTAAGTGTTTTGGAGCACGGTTAGAACTTTTCAGATCTGCGGCCCTTCAGGAACTGGAATTGACACTTGTGGTCTAATGCAAAGAAAGCATCCAAAAATACACTTTTAAGTGTTTCTTTTGTTGCACTTTATCAAATTCTGTCCTAAGATTTCAATTACAAGACCTATTTTTGAAGGCCATTTTCTCAAATTGTTTTTTTTTTCCTACAGTGATCCATAAATCAGCAACACATACACTAAACTTCACACTTTTATTCATATCAATATTCTGAAGGTTTGTACAGAGCTATTTGTTCATTAATCATAACCTTTTTAATTATTCTAGAATTATAAAAAAGTGTACAGTATTTTATCAAAAGTATGGATTGAAAAAAAAATAGATTTTTCAAATTATTTCTGTAAGAACTTTTACTCAAATGCTGATTTTACATCAAATGCAGATCATTATAGTTCACTATCTCTTATTTACTCATGGAATGTTTATTTCCACTCATGCAAAATTTTCGCTTGAGTTTAATTGTTTGAACTAGCGTGGTAGATGCAATTGAAAAAAAAAAAAAGACACATTGCACATTTCACATCGTTTGTGCCTCATGATAATAATTCACCCCTATATGTGTTAGCATTGACTTTGTAAATAATTTACCTGGCAAATGGCTGGTCGATAAATCGATTTTATCGATTAACTTAAATGCAAAGTTCACATTGATTTGTTTAAATGAAAATCAGTTTTCACCCTAACACGTGACGCTCCAGTAGCTCCCCGACATTGCCATAGAAACAAACAAACAGCATGCAGCGAGCAGAAAACTCAGAAAAATGTTGCGCTCTTTGAAATTAATTGAAAAACAACACGGACCCACAAACACACTCGCCAGAAAATAGCAATTGGAGCTACATTTGAAATGCGCATTTGAACCACACCATGTATTTCTCACAGTGTTAAGTAATGGATAAGACAATTAATGGAGAGGATGCACAGATTCCACAGCCAAATTAGCCTGCAGCCCAAGAGTGGTTACTTATTGATGCTGCAGCAACGCTGAGCCTGGTCAGTACCTGAATGGGAGACCACATGGGAAAAATTAGGTTGCTGTTGAAAGTGGTGTTAGTGAGCCCAGCAGGGTGTGCTCAACCTCAGTCTGTGTGAGTCCTAATGCCCCAGTATAGTGAAGGGGACACCATACTGTCAGTTAGCGTCTTCGGATGAGACGTTAAACTGTAGTCCTGGCTTTCTGTGGTCATTAAGAGTAGGGGTGTAACCCCGGTGTCCTGGCCAAATTCCCTTTATCGGCCTTTACACATCATGGCCACCCATCCCCATCCACCGAATTGGCTCTCCACTCCTCCTATAACTGATGTGTGGTGAGCGGACTGGCGCTGTTGTCCTGTGGCTTCTGTCGCATCATCTTAGTGAATGCTGCATGCTGGTGGTGGTGTGGAAAGACCCTCTCATAATTGTGAAGCACTTTGGGTGTATGGCCGCACACAATAAATCCGCTATATAAAATACACATTACATTACACATTGTACATATGAAATCCAACTTTGCTGTTTCTGGATAAATTATGTGACCCTGCCGTAAAGATGTTCAATACTGTAAATATCAACACTAACAAAGATCGATAAGTACACTAGAGTAATCTACCAGATGCAGCGACCCCATGTAAATAAAAGCAATAAATAATGTTTATATGAACTGATATAACACAGAATAAAAATGATAGTTCATTAAAAAAAATCATCTTGAAAAATGTCCCCCTTTTAACATTATTATTATTATGATTTTTTTTCACTGTAATTGTATAAAATATTATTATTATTATTATTATTATTATTATTATTATTATTATTATTATTATTATTATTATTATTATTAAAGTCTTGGCTCTGCTTTATATTAGGTGGCCTTTACTATGGACTTGCATAAAAAAAAAAGTACAGTGTACTTACTGTGTTCACAATGTATTGCAGAACACTTCTGTCGCCCCTGAAGTGAGATACGGATAGGTTTATGGACAGGTTTGGTGCTATGAGTAGGTTAAATGTATAAGGGATGGTCAACAGTGTAATTAAATTTGTAATTACAGAAACTATATACAGATGTAGGTATTTAATAAATCAAAAGTACAATGTAAAAACATGTATTCACACAGTAAGTACATTCTAACAAATGATTACATTTAGTGTAGGTAGACATTAGTTAAGGCCACCTAATATAAAGTGGGACCAAGTCTTGTATGCAATCAAACAGTAAATATATATGTAAATAGAGCTTGTATAATTTGATCTTTCAATGAAAAGTTATTTTTTTCTTCTTTAGCATTTTTATGTCCAATAATTATAATTATGATAATGTTATATAGTTTATTGTGGGGAGGTGGGGTCGAAACTGAACAAAAATACTGCATAAATAAAAATCTGGGATTTAAAAAAAAAGTTCATATCGACCAGCCCAAGTAAATACTTAAATCTACATTTGATGTAAATGCAGAGTGTCAAATAACCCTCTCAAGGCAGGCGTTGCTGTTTTGCAACAGTTAAAAATTAACTACCTAATTACTCCAGATACATATTTTATGATTTTTTTTAACTCAGAAGTACCACTGCAGGACTTGGTTGTCCATTAGCAACAAACTGTTTCCCCACTTGCTCACCAGATGACACACACACACACACACAAAAAAAAAAGGTTTCTTGGAGTACCACATGACAAAGTGACTTGGAAACATGACCTACTCAATGAGGATTTGAGATATTGGATTTGGATCTCATATTGTTTTTGTTGTTGTTCTGCCACTGAAAAGCAATTAGTTACATTGTTTAAAAAGTTGTATATAAAAAGTTATTGTTCATATCATATTCAGTCGTCAGTGTCTAATTACCACACTGAGCCAATGTTGCAAATCTGCAACTTCCCAGAACGCCTGCATGTGAAGGTCTCTCTAAAAAAAAGTCAGGATTCTATTGTACTACCCCATATGATAATTTTCCTTAAATATCAGATTTTTCCTGTTTCAAAAAATTAATTTGAGCCTGAGAGGGATAAAACATAAATTTTGAAGTCGATTTCATTCCGTTTTTTTATTTTATTTTTGTGCTATAAATGTGTGCAAATCTATGCATATTTAATCATATATAATTTGCATATTTAAGAAAACTTCAAATACCAAATAATTATGTAATTAAATAATTCATAATGTAATCAATCAACATTGAAAATATGTAGATACATGTTTTTGTTGTTTACCCTTTCCCTTTGCAGTGTCTTGCCTTAAAAGCAAATGGTCTTTTTTTTTTTTTTTTTCTTTACTGCATGGAATGGGGACTTGAATGTAAATCAGTCTTACGACGTCCCATACAGTATACATGTTTGTGAGGTGATCAAAGCTGATTGTTTCTACATTGAAGCTAACACAATATAAAGTTCTATTGAAGCTCATTTACATAGGTATATTCTTATATGCAGTCATATATTGTATAATAGTTTCTCCTTTTCTGTTGTACATTGCTCTCCAGTGACATAAAGCTCAGTGCATGCCGTTATTTTTTCAATTCTTTAAAAATATATGATGTTATTGATTTATAAGGTTTTAGCACACATATCCTTCCTATAGGTACAAGCAAAGAATTAGGAACATCGTCCAAAACTAAGATGGCTGTTGTCAGATGTAGATTATGTATAAATTCTGTCTTCATTTTTTTTTCTTTTGTACAATATGAAATATTTGAGATGTTCATCAGCAATGCTATACATCATGGAAGCTTGTTTCTGCCAGAGAATGATTTATTATCATTTTGCAATTATAATCCTGTTTTTTTTTCTTTCCACTTTCACTTTTTTAAATTGTGAGATACAAAGTCAAAGCTGCAAGATATAGAGTTACAAATTAGATTTCTTTTCTTGCAAATTATGTTTACACCGCATAAGTCTGTAGTTTATTTCTGAGGTCTACATCTGACATTGTTGACCTGTTTCAGTTGACGCTTCTGTTGTTCTGTATGTTGTTACAAAATCGGCGTGTTTAAGGTCTGTTTTCCCTAAAAACCAATGTTATTCACTGCCTGATTGATAAACGACAAAAAGTGGGTTATGCAGATTGCAAAAGAAGCACTGCATTTAATTACATTTTCTATGCCATGTCTCTAAACTATGAACATTTATTTTACTCCAGTGTTCTCAATGGAGTATTTGCACACGCCTGCTGATCCTGACAGCGTGTGCGTATAAACATCTTGTATCTAAATGAATGCTGAAATCTATTTAACTGATTATATTTTGATTACATTACAATGTTGATGCTTTCAAAGGAACCGTATAATATTGAAAAAGGTCACGTTAATGGTTCACCGGAAGTAATCGGTATGGGAAAAAACACTAGCTGTGCATTTACCTCATTATAGTTTATAGGCAATCCTGCAAAAAAAAATTTCTTGCACTTTCTAGTTCACATGTTACAATTCTGACATTTTTGTTCCCCTTAGAATTGCAGCTTTGTTGCAAATTTATAGGCAAACTCGCTATACTGACTATTTTTCCCACAAAATCTTATGTACAATTCAGATTTTTTTATTAAAAAATGTAGACTTTTTAAAAAATATTGCTATTAAGTTTATTACAAATTCCCAATTATCATTTTTCCCCATTTCTTTATATGCGCGTGTAATTCTGAATTTATTATAGTTACTGTAACATAACTATTTACTATAATATAGCAATTCTGATCTTCATTCTGATTGTGGAACTATATTCTTCTCAATTTCAAGTTTATGGGCGATCTCACAATTCTGAATTTAGATCAGGGGTCACCAATCCTGGTCCTGGAGGGTCGGTGTCCCTGCAGGGTTTATCTCCATCTTGCCTCAACACACCTGCCTGGATGTATCAAGTATACCTAGTAAGACCTTGATTAGCTTGTTCAGATGTGTTTGATTAGGGTTGGAGCTAAAATCTGCAGGACACCGGCCCTCCAGGAACAAGTTTGGTGACCACTGATTTAGATCTTACAATTGTGACCTTTTGTATCAGAATTACAAGTTTAGATTGCGAAACGGTGAGATATAAACTCTAAAAAATGAAATACATAATTAAACTATTTCATTCTGTGGCATAAACAAGCTTCCATGATATTACGACCAAAAATGATATATTTTTTTTGTAAAGATGTCACTGTGACTATTTCTTTTACAATTACATGTGTGTTTAACATTTTATTTGTACATATCTTTCATGCATTTTTGCACCTTTTACTTATATACTCTGGCATTCATGTGCCTTAAACGTTTTTGCCTGTTCTTCTTCCACCAGCAATATGATTTTGATGTTTTTAGCGTTGCAGTATTCATTCTGAAAGTGGCCTGTTTGATTGGTGCATTTTTGATACTTCCTTAAAAAAATAGTCTGTTTCTCAAAAAATGAATCAGCTTTGCATACATTTTTCCAGTGGAAGTGTGCAATAAAAATGCAGAAATGGAAAGAAAAGAGTGTTTGGTTAACAAGTTAGTCATTAATCAGATTAACCAGCAATATTAGAAAAACCTTCCCCGTTTTCTTAAGCT